GGCAAGGGGTTTAGTAGTATTAAGAATAAAACTAAAGTTCCTGTACACACATATTTTTTTGAATGCCCCCAAATTAAAAGAATGGCAGCTCCAATTCTCTCCCCTGTCCCCGCAAAGGATTTCAGCTCATTGCCCAAGTATAGCTGAAATGAAACAACTGATTTTGAAAGGGTGCTTGCCAATTATGTATAGTCTTAGGCACCACAAATATAGAGTGGGTCCAGAAATCTACGTTGGTTCTGTTTGCTTGTTGGGCATTAATTTCCCTTAGGTATTTAGACAAACAAAATTAGAGCTTCATTGCCAGTAGGAAGAGTTGCAGCCTTAATCATTCTAGCATTCCCTCTGCTTCACAATATTCTTTTCTTAAATAAGTGACTTCACTTGCTTTATTTATTTATTCCTGATTCCTGGTTTTTCTGATTTCTGATTTTTCTGATTTTTGATTTCAAAATTCAAAAAATCATAACATCAAAAACACACATACAAAAGCAAATAAAAAGCAAAAAGCAAACTAAACAAATAAAACAAAAAATTATTGATTGATTTTTCCTGATTCTTGATTTTTTCTGATTTTTTGTTTTTTCTGATTTCTGTGATTTCTGATTTTTGTGATTTCTGATTTTTTGATTTCAAAAATCAAGAAATCAAGAAATCAAAAAATCAGAAACACATACAAATAGCAAATAAACAAAAAGCAAACAAAAAAGCAAACTAACAAAAAAAAATCAGCTGCATTTTTTAAAAGATAGGAATAAAATGTTTCCAAGTATATGTGTCATAACATGAGCTAGCCTTTTCTTTTTTATCTAGTTGTTTACAAAATTGAAAGTAGACATTTTGTTGGTCAATTTGTTCAGACGTAATTGTGTCTGAATGTCCAGTCTATGTAATAATATAAGCTGCATAAATCAGTATATTTTCTCCATCCCTTTTATTTCAAGAGTTGTCAGTCTTAAGAGATGAATGCATCATTCATTCTTTCATCTCTTAGCATTGGAAATTTTGACTTTGTACCACCCCAGAGCAACTGGGATGTTTGTGGAGGAAACTTTTGAGACTCAAAAGTTCAGATATATGTTTTTTTAATCAACTAAATAGATTGGGTGTGTGGGGGTTAACTGGGACAAGTACCAAGGGTTCTAGTGACAAATATTTTTTAAAAATAAAAATAAAATAAAAGCATAACATTGAATCTGGAATAGAAACATTTTTAGACCTTGTTTTTGGAGGCAGTATTGTTCGAAAGCACGCCAAAAAGTGCAAGTAGATAAATAGGTACCGCTACGGCAGGAAGGTAAACGGCGTTTCCGTGCGCTGCTCTGGTTTGCCAGAAGCGGCTTCGTCATGCTGGCCACATGACCCGGAAGCTGTACTCCGGCTCCCTCAGCCAGTAAAGTGAGATGAGTGCCAGAGTCATCCATGACTGGACCTAACAGTCAGGGGTCCCTTTACCTTTATCTTTTAATGTCTGTGAATACCAGTTGCTGGCAACCACAGGTGGGCAGAGGGCTGTTGTTCTCAGGTCCTGCTTGTGGGCTTCCCATTTGGGCACCTGGTTGGCCACTGTGAGAACAGGAGGCTGGACTAGATGGGCCTCCTTTGTCCTGACCCAGCAGGGCTCTTCTTAGGTTCTTGTTTTCAAAACAGGCTCTTTCATTAACGGAAAAGCTGTGTTTTCCTTCCTGTGCCCTCAATTTTATAAGGCAGTTAGAGCAACAAAAAGTGAGAGCTGCAACAAAATATTGCAGTGTGGAGTGTTATTCAGGCGTTCAGGTCAGCCAGCCACCCTCTCCCAGGATACTCCATTGCATTGTTGTTACCCCCATCCTTTGTCAGCATTCTGTGGCCACTGAGCATGGATTATTATTGTTGATTTTGGTCCCCTTAGTTACACATTATAAAGATAATTTGGTTTCCACATAGTCGGCTAATACATATCTCCATTTTATCTTTTCTTGGCTCCATTTCTCTTCCATAGCTATCGGTGCTCAACCCCTGAGTTTGGGCCATTGTGAATGAAGTCAGTTCACTTTCAGATGTGAAAAGATTCGAATTCTGCACCCATTCCTATTTGATCATAGAATAAAATTTGTTGTTGCTGTTGAAATGAACCCTGTAATGTAGCTTATCGTATGATTTCTGCCCCTGGTTTCCTGGATTCTGGTCTCGCGTTCTCACAAAAAGCCAACAACATATACACACACACACACCCTTCTGACAGCCTGTCCTGCTGTGTAATACAGTGTGATGGTTTGCTCCAGGAGTCTCAGCTGGGTGTAGACATGGACGACACCCCAAAAGGAGCACTTCAAATATCTGATTGCTCCTGACAGGAACTCCACCCCCCCCAGCTCTTGCACATGCTCTGAATCCTATTAGAACCCACGTCACTTCCATTTTGCTCTGGATTTTCCCAATAATGAGCTGTTGATAAAGAGCCCAGGAATAGAGAACACTAGCAGGTAAGTCAGGAGTGAACTTTTAATCTGTGAACTGCTTTGTATTGGTCATGATTGTTTTATGGGAATATGCAAGTAAACTCCCTAAACTCCTTAAATATACTAAGGGAAGCTGCCTTCCATTGTTCAAGGATGTGTGTGCACTTGTGAAGAGATCCATGACTTGGAGCACAGAAGGCAGATTGAGAGTATGTGGGTAAAAATCATAGGGGAGAAACAGCAGTGACCTGCTGTGTCTGCTAAAGACCACCAAACCAGACTGAAGACTTGGGTGATGCTTTCTGATGCTTTCCTAGAGCAGATTACTAAACATTCAAAAAGGTGAGCTACAGTAGAGATGGGCGACTTCAACTGCCGCGGTATCTGCTGGGACTGTAAGGTCCAACAAATTCCTCCAGTCCCTTGCTGAAAATTTCATTTCCCAGAAGGGGATAATCGTATCTTGGACCTGGTCCTCACCAAGGGGAAAGAACTGATTGACTGAACTGGGAAACTTGGGAGGAAGTGACCATGACCTCCTGGGTTTCATGATTACAGAGGCAAGGTAAAACTGAGTAGTCAAACATGCACACTTGACTTTAAGAAGGCTGATTTCAAAAAGCTTAAGGAGCTACTGGGTGAGATTCCACAGTCAGAAAAACTTTTTTTTTAAAAAAAAAGGAGTTCAAGATGGTTGCTAGTTTCTTAAGGGGATGAGCTGCTCAAGACATGGGCCAAGCACTTCCACCCAATTTCCCAAATTATACCAACAACACGGAGCTACAATTTAGCATCACTTATTCTCTGTAGCATCTATTCTTGCATGTGTGGCCGTGCCTAGGAACTCCCTCCATATTGATATTATTGTACTGTTGATTTCGATGCCTTCTAAAAACACATTTGTTCAGGCAAGTCCACCCAGATGTGTAATTCTATTGTGCACATTGGTTTTTAAAAATATATTGAATTTATCTGTATTTTCATAATTTTATTGGGACTATTGTTTTTAAATTCTGCTTTTTGCTGTATTTAAATGAGCATTTTATACCATTTCACGTAGAGATTTCAAACAGTATATAAAGCTATACAAATAAAAAAAATTAATTAAATAATTTGTGAGCAGTGGAAATAATAAGAACATAAGAGCCCTGCTGGATCAGGCCTGTGGCCCATCTAGTTCAACCTCCTGTTTTCAGAGTGGCCAACAAAACTTTTCTCCCTCTCTTATAACACTAGAACTCATGGACAGCCAATGAAGCTGAGTGTTGGAAGGTTCAGGACGGGGGGCGGGGGGGGCGGGGAGTCATTTTTCACGCAATGCAGAGTTAAACTGTGCAACCCACTCCCTCAGAGGGCAGTAATAGCCTACAACTTGGACGGTTTTAAAAGAGTATTGGAAAAAATCATGGAGAAAAAAGGCTATTTATGGCTACTAGCCATGATGGCTATGCTCTTCCCACAGTGGAGAGAGGCAGTAATGCTTCTGGATAGCAGTTGCTAGAAAAAGCAGGAGTGGAGAGGGCTCTTGTGCTTGGATCCTGCTCGAGGGTAGGCCACTGTGAGAATAGGATGCTGGACTCAGTGCTGGATTTACGCATAAGCTAAACAAGCTATAGCTTAGGGCCTCGCTCTCTTGCCCCCCCCCCCCAATTTACTACTTCTTAATTGTATTTCAGTTCAACAATTACTTTGATAAAATACATATTTTGTTATGCTAACTGCCTCTCATCTCAAGACGGGGCTCCACCCATTTACTGACTAGCACATTCTTTGGATGTTAATAGTCTGGTTTAACATCCCAGACCATTACTAGGCTTTGTTCTCCTAAGGACCCACAAGCTATCACCAGGCTTGCCTAGCTGTATCTGGGGCTTCAGAATTCGGCGCAGTTGAACTTCCCAAACCTTGATTAATTCTGTTTTTATTGAATCCAGAGATTCATGGTATATGGCACCCTACAAACACATAACAGTGGTTTTCAAAGTAACGGGGGGGGGGGGGAAATGGAATCAATCTTTTTTTTCTTTTTATGGTCCCTGGTTCATGGAACCTTCCAAGCCAGAAGTGGTTTTGTGCCATGTGAAAGATCACTTAAGATGTGAAACTCGGAAGATGTGGAAGATGGAATAAAGTGTTGTTTGAAGGCATCCTAAGAAAACGTCAAAACACATGAAGAGTGGAATGTGCATGTTTTCAATTATTTCCCCCAACAATTATGACCTTAAATCTAAAAGGACTAAAAAACCTATGTAAAATAATTAACTTGAAGATGAAATGGAAATTGTTCAGAGATCCTCCCCAAAACAAACTTAATTCATGTCCCAGTCACTCCGCAATTATTGGAATTGGTTTCAGGTATCATTCAGAGATTTTCAAACTAATTTGGTGAACTTTGTTAAACTGATCTACAGTTCATTCCAAGCACTGCTGTGTCCTACCTTACAAGGCTGCTGTGTAAATTCCAAAGGCAATCTAGCAGAATATGATATGAACTATCTGAATAAATGGGAGGCCCGCTGCATGGGATTATGGCCGCTTCTGGAAGGGAAATAGCAAACATTTCGTTTCTGAGAGCACAGACTCCTGGGCATTTGAGCATCCACAATGCTGGTCAGTATGCTGGCCTCTTGCAGGAGACACATCCCTGATTTTTGTGGATCCCATGGCATGAACCAAGTCACTTCCTCTGAAACTACCTTTTTAGAGTTTCCTATAAGCCACCAGCCACTTATCCAGAAGGATAGATTTCTGAATGGGGCTTCAGTGGGGGGTTGTGAGGTGGGGAGGGGAAGAGTGTGTGGAATAAAAGGTGTTGTGATCCTTTTGAATGACACCTTACAATCGTGACCCTTGTGCCGCTGGGGACTGTGTGCTGCCTGTGTGAAATACACCTTTGCAAGACTGAAAATCGTGGTGTGTGTGTTTTAAGTATTAATATATATGGGGGGGTGTTGACTGGGGAGGACATTGCGGTCATTCGTGGCACTGTCCCCCCTTAGGCTGAAAAAGTCCCCGGCAATAGCTTTTTTTTACTTGCCTGCAGCTGATGAGTGAATGTCCCAGTGACCACTGGAGGTCACTTTTTCAATAATATAGTTCAATCCAACTTTATTTGAGCGAATATCTTTTCATGCCGTAGTGTCTCTCATAAGCCGCCAGGCACAGGGAGAGAAAGAGAGGGAGAGAAAGGGGGAGAGGGGGAGAGAAGCAGCAGCAGGAAGATGAACAAATAATAGCAGAGGGAAGGAGGAATGAACTCTTAGCCAAACCAGAATAAATGGCGAAATACGGTATGTTGCTTATGGGAGAGGAAAGATAAAGGTTTGGAAAAATTGTTGCATCAGACCTGACTCATGCAATGTTCTCTGCAAATGTTCCTAAAGGATTGCATCTTATGCTAAATAGGCTATGTTGAAAGTCTCCAGGTGGACCAGGGACCCTGATTGCTGTGTTTCTTGTCATTGCAGGGGTCATACAACAGGGGAGAGCTGCTCTTCCAAAACTGTGTGCCAGGCCAAGGAAGGCTAAAGTGATGTTGAAGAATGGCCAATTTTGCCACAAGAAATAAATACACGTATTAAAAATGTTAGTTTTAGATGAGCATGCCTAGTTGTGTCTCTGCATCACTAACCTCAACCCTGCCATGTTGGAATCCCTTGCAGACGACCGCAGTGCCTGGGGAGAGGCAGTCAAGCTGTGTATCCATTAGCAGTGACCAGATGAGAAATGACTGCTGAGAGGAGTGCAGAGAGAAGAAATGCTATGGTGTATCTGCATATGCACAACCGGACAAATTCATCTGCCCCAGCTGCAACAAAACATGTCTCTCCCATATTGGCCTACAACCACAGTGGGCACTGCAACCTTCCAACAGCTTGACCTCACCCCCAAAGGCACACTCCTCCATTGTCTCCCGAGACACATAGATGCCAACAGCCGAATTGTGTCTCTGCATGAGTAACAGCTCTGGGTTTATATTCTCCCTCTCAATCCACATCTCTGCTGTTGCTGGAGTGTTCAGTTCTGAGAGCGACAGGATTGCTTATTGCCAGAGGAAGCTGCTATGCATCTCTGGATGAGGTGATGTTGCTTATGCGTTTCCCATCTTCCAGTCAGTTTCTGCTGGGGTGGGCAAGTAGTTGCATTGTGGGCCTCTGGTGCCATTGGATCACACAGGCACTCCCAGTGCAAAGATGCAGCATAAATACCCAAGGGAGGCTTCCAAGTTGTGTCTTTGCATGAGTCTCTGCTCTGGGCTTGTCCTCTTCCTAGACAGCTTCTGCCAAGGATGGACAATCTGCCATATATCAGCATCACATATCCTCAGATCTTCCAATCACTCCCAGTTATGGCTGATGGCAGTTTCAGAGGAGGCTGCCTGAGGCATCTCTGGTTGAGTGACTGCTTTGGGCTTGCCGCCTCCTCACCAGTTCCTATATGAACACTAAACTGGGAGGGGCAGCTAATGATGCAGAAGACAGAATCAGGATTCAAGATGCCCTTAACAGATTGGAGAACTGGGCCCAAACTAATGGAATGAATTTCAAAAGGGAGAAATGTATAGTTCTACGCTTTGCCAGGAATAACCAGCAACATAAATATAAGATGGGGGGGGGGGCACCTGACTTGCAAGTAGTACATGTGAAAAGGATCTAGTGGTCTTAGTAAACCACAAGCTTAACATGAGTCAACAGTGTGATATAGCAGTAAAAAAACAAACCAACTAATGGGATTCTAGGCTTCATCAACAGATGTATAGTGTGCATATGAAAGGTTAGTAATAGTAGTGTTCTATTCTGTCTTGGTCAGGCCACACCTGTGGGCACCACACCAGTTCTGGGCACCACAATTTAAGAAACATATTGACAAGTTGCAGCCAAGGTGATAAAGGGTGTGGAAACCAAGCCTTATGAGGAACAGTTGAGGGAGTTGGGTATATTTAGGGTGGGAAAGAGGAGATTGAGAGGAGATATGATATCTATTTTCAAATATCTAAAGGGTTGTCACATGGAAGATGGAACATGCTTGTCTTCTCCTGCTCTGGAGAGTGGGACCAATGCCTTCAAGTTACGAGAAAGGAGATCTTAGCTAAACATCAGGAATAACTTTGTGATGGTAAGACCCGTTTGACAGTGGAATGGACTCCATTGGGAGGTGGATTCCTGCATTTCAGGGAATTGAACTAGATGATCCTCAGAGTCCCTTCCAACTCTGCTATTCTACTTTATGATTCTATGATATTGTGCAGAACTGATCAAGGGCTGCATCGTTATGTGTGTGTGCACATTCTAAGTTTCCCTATTCCTGGTCTCAGAGGACCACCAGGAAAGGAGCCTGCTCCTTTAAGGAGAATGAGTAGAACCCCATTCAGGGCATGTTGAACACCTTCTAACTGGGAAGGACAACCAGCTACCAAGAGTGCCTTCACCATGTCTGGATTGACTGGTAGTTTATTGTCTACCACCCGTTCCATGACCAAGCCCAGGTAGTCATAAAATACTCTCTTTCCAGTGCATCCTGGCTTTGAAAGATGGGCTTGAATTAGCTGTGCTAATTGATCAGTTTGGAACATCCATGAGACACTGTCATAAACCTTTCTACTCATCATAGCATGTCTGCTGCTGCATAATCACCCCCCCCAAAACACCTGAAACCCTCTCCCCCATATCTGCTGACACAGAGGTATGAGGAGCAGGAAGCGAGAGGAATGGCTTGGCATTTAGACTCAGAGTGGGGTGATTCATTATCCCAGTTGGGTTTAGAGCCCACTCAACACAGTAAGGAAGGGAACAGCCACACAAAAAAGCTGGACCTTATTAACGTTTCCCAAAATGCCTCCTGTGGTTTCTAGCAAATGGTATTCAGAAGCAGAGTATAGACACCACCCAATCCTCTTTTAAAGCCATTGAGTTTGGTGGTCATTCTGTAGGAGTGAGTTCCATAGTTTAACTCTCTACTGTGTGAAGAACTTTCTTTTCTCCGACCTGCATCTCCAACATTCAGCTTCATTGGGTGTTCATGACTTCTAGTGTTAAGAGAGAAGGGGGAGGGGTTCTTTGCCCAGTCTCTCTATGCCAGGCTTCATTTTATAAACTTGTAGTGCATCACCTCTTGCACCTCTTTTCTCTAAACTAAAAATCATGGTGGACATGGAGCTTCTGAAAACAGACACAACCCATTGTGCTTTTCACATCATGTGAATCACAATGTCCAGGCATGATGGATTAATCTAACCCCATGGCAAGAGGCAGCAAGTTAAGTAGCAGTACAGCATGGAAGAAGGTGGCACTGTGCGTTAAACCACTGAGCCTAGGACTTGCCGATCAGAAGGTCAGCGGTTCAAATCCCTGCAACGGGGTGAGCTCCTGTTGCTCGGTCCTTGCTCCTGCCAACCTAGCAGTTCGAAAGCACATCAAAGTGCAAGTAGATAAATAGGTACCGCTCTGGCGGGAAGGTAAACGGCGTTTCCGTGCGCTGCTCTGGTTCGCCAGAAGCAGCTTAGTCATGCTGGCCACATGACCCAGAAGCTGTACGCCGGCTCCCTCAGCCAATAATGCAAGATGAGTGCCGTAACCCCAGAGTCAGCCACAACTGGACCTAATGGTCAGGGGTCCCTTTACCTTTACCTTACAGCATGGAAGAATAGGCTGTTAGACCCTTTTATCTATCTTGTTTAATTTGCTTACAGAGCTTTCCCATTTCTATCCCCCTCACAATGAATAGCCTACACTGTTAGTAATTTTAATAAGCTTTACTTACAAAATCCACAGTTCTGACTCAAGGGTTATTCCATGCAGCAGCAAAGAGAACACAGGTATCTTCATCATAACTTTTATGTGAAGAACATCCAGATTTCACATTACAACTGTTTACAGCTAGATTCTTCTCATGCAACAGAAAACTGCTTCCTTTATATTTATGCTCCTCTTATTTTGACTTGGTTGCTTAAATGAAGGGGATTTTGCTGGTTTGAGGGCTTCACAAAATTTATATATGTGTCACTTTTTCGTTACATATGAAACACACCTCTTTTGGATGGAGCCTTGGCTGTCCTCTGAGACTGGGACACATAGTTTGATTCAGTGAGTTTTCCATTCCTGGCTTTGGGATGGAGCCTTGGCTGTCCTCTGAGACTGGGACACATAGTTTGATTCAGTGAGTTTTCCATTCCTGGCTGGAGAGATTTCTCTCCACACACTCCTCTCTCAAGTGCACATTCACACCAGTTAGCGTTAACCTTGGTTTGTCAACCATGAGAGTGGCCAAAAGTTTCAAATTTTCTTCCTAGTGACCCCAAGGAAACAGCAAACTTTCAGTTAATTATCCAGTTTGAAATCTGAAAGTTCTAGCTTCTCAATAATGGCTAGGAACTCTATCACTTGATGGTACAGTCCTTCTTGGATTCAAGCTTTAATTTAAATATATATTTCCTCCATGCTCAATGAGAACATTACTTGTAAATCCAAAAGCCTTTTGTAAATTCTCAGTTATCTGAGCAGCTGTATCACATCTGTTAGTGTGAACCGTATGAGTATCTGAAATACTATCCAGAATAGTGCTAGATCATTCTGCTGTTGCCATCTTCTCTGGGTTTTGCTTCTAAAATTCCTCTCACTCTCAGTCTGGCTTCCAAACACTTTTTCCACAGAATGAAATTGCTCTGAGTGAAACTAGGCAGTCTAGGAGTTCGTTCAACTATGGAATTCTGGCTATTCATTTTAAAAATGACAAAAAAGGGGGGGGGAAATCCCCCAAAGAACAAAAACGATGGCAGGAAAAAGTGTCAAAAATAAAACGAATAAAGCACCAAAAATCTCGACAAGAAAATAAAGTTCTTTTGCCTAGTTGCTGTTTAGTTGCATTGGAAGGGGTAGAGGAAAGAGTGGGGAGTTACGATAATCCTCTCAAAATAGAACAAAGCAAGGCATCTTGTGGCTACCAGGAAACAAACAAACAAACAAACAAACAAACAAACAAACAAACAAACAAACAAAACTCAGTTCAAAAATTACTTAGAAAGTAAAATAAAAATTTCTGCAAAATATTTTTACATTCTGGGATCTATTCGTTTCCTGGGCCCATAACCTTCTGGGGTGGGGGTGGGGGTGGGGAGATCTGTATGACTCTTGTGTGTCTCCTTTGCTTGGCACTCAATCCCTGAATTCAGATGGGTCACTTTGCTTCTCAGGTCCTTCAAATCCCTGCTCAAAACAGCCACATTTGCCACATGACACCACCAAGTCAATATGGAGATTTCTGAGCTAGAAGGGCCAATGGCCTGACTTAGTATAAGGCTTCTCAGTGCTTTTTTCGGGGGGGGAGGGGTACACAGGGGTACGCATACCCCTAAACATTTTGTGCATCTAAGTTTGGCCTCATTGTGGGGCAATATTTCAATATGAGTAGGAAAATGAGAGTACCCCTATTTTTTTTAAAAAAAGAAATAAACCACTGAGGCTTCTTACTGTGTTACTATTTAATCCATACCTTTCTTCAGACCCAAGAGGACTAGAATCTTGCTATATTTTTAGGGGGGAAGGGCCATACTTTGAGCACACGCTCCCCAAATGCAGAAAGTCCCAGGTTCCAACCCTG